GTAGTTCTCTGCACACCACAGGTATGCCACAATTTCTTTTTTTAGCTCCATTTCTTACAAGAGAAAAACTTAATTTTCATAAATAAGTACAGTATCACTTTTTATATGGTGGCATACAAAACAAAGAGTTTCCAAATTCCCAATCCTTAACAATCATGGATTTTTATTTTTAAATGAAAACAGGAGGACATCCCACACTACTAGTACACTTCATTACTGTTTTTTTTCTTTTTACTGTGTACATACCATTGCTGCAACACAAATGGAAAAGTAGCTTTTCAGTTCTATGGAGTGCTCTCAAGGAACCAGCAAAGCCAAGAACTAAGTCATCTGCTGATGGGTTGGAGTGTGCACTTCAACAGAGGTGCAGGAAAAGGTAGACTCTCCACCACTGCTGTCCACAAAGTAGGTTTTAGTTTCTGAAAAGTAATATCAGTGAAACTGGCACATACAACTATTGTTCCTGCATTCACCTGTTCTCCTAAAAAGCTTCATATTACTACTGAGTTATGTGTCTCTTAAATCTTCTGTACAGATATCATTAACTAAAGTTAAATTGCTAGAAATGCCAGAATCTAGGAAATTTTGATAAGCAAAACACAGAAGTTTTCCAAATACAATAGTTATAAATTACTCTTTTGGAATAGTCTGTAAATTTTACTGTACCTATCAAACCAAGTCAGCCAGAATTATCTACCCATGTGAAAAGTCATTGTCTTAAGCCATGCATTAATAAGGTAGGCTGTGAGGTGTTTATTCTCATTTTCTCCAAGGAAGTAATCATTGAGCTTGTTTGTTTGGGCTTTTTTAAATTTTTTAAAAACTTAAGTAATTTCACAAAGGGAATTTAGTACATACATTTAGTCAAAATGTATTAGTTTGAAAGGTCCTTAAGTTATCTAATCACACCTGACAAAAGGAATGGTTGCAGATGTTCAGAAACCCCCTGGGAGACATCTGCATTAGTTAATACAGTTTATGAGAATTTAGAATCTGAAAATGGCTAACAATTATGTGATTAAGTGGTCAAGAAACTCTTTTGGAGTTCTCAAACAGCTGACAATGACAGTTCAAAAGAATTTACACAATCAACGATTAATATTTATATAATTAACTGATTACTCCAAATGCTTTTCCTCTCTCTCTCTCAGTAACACAATAGTCAGAGAAAGAAAAATGATTAAGTCTATTAAACTTAAGGGAGAAACTAAAACAATACTGTTTTAACAGAGATCAAGTAGAGGGACACAATTTGGATACTAGAAAATTCAGACAAATGTGATTTAAGTTAAGACTTCCAAAAAGTGTTTCAAAGGAAGGAGGGAGGAAGATATCAGAAACGAAACAAAGAGTCAAGAATATGTGTTGAACTTAGAAGCAGAGTTGACGGAGTAACTGCAAAGAGAAAAAAAAAGTGAATCTCTATCCCAAGGAAGCAGGAGCTTGAAATACATACAAATAAAGGGACTGGATGGTAAACTAAGAAGTGTTCCACTGCCATCCAATCACTAAGAGGATAGTGCAGAAAAGGCACAAAAGCAGAGGAGTACTTTAATAAGACTACATGAACAAAAATGTATGAGCAGCATGGCTCTCTTGATCTTTCCAACGAGGCAGTTAAAAAAATATCTAAGTGATCTACCAAGACATCAAATTAAGCATATGTGGTCAGTGTTGCATGAGTGACCATTACTGTTATAATATTTAACAGACATTATAAATTCTTGCCACAGTTATGTTTTGATAATAGTACTTTAAAGTGTAAGATTTAATGGATCAAATTCCTAATGGCAAATAAGCACCCTGCAGAGTTGGCAATCTGCTTTGGAAACATGTAAAGCACACAATGCAAAATCAGGAGCCAAGTAAGAGTGAACAGGATTTGTGACTATGTAGATAAGAAACAAGAGACTTGTTAAATGGTTTCTAGGCAGAAATTCTCTTAACCCTTGGGATTTTTTACAGCGTATCACAGGTTGAACACTATCCATCAAGAAATGTGACAGACAGGAATTACAGAAATCTAAATTACCTAAACTGGGATTGAAAAAGAAGATGCCTTAATTCCTGCATTCAACACAGCCATGAGGCCTCCCCAGAGATGAGGTTAACAACATATAAAATTAACTTTATTCTGCCCAACCTGTACACAATGAAAAAGTTACCACCTATGCAGGTTCAAGAAACTTTTGAAATAATACATTAAAGGACAGGAAAATCTGGAAATGACCTATTAATTAAAGAAAACAAAGATCTAGTTTTATTCCATATTGAATGGAACACACCCCAGTATTGTATCGGGATTAGTGAGGAGGCACTGAATGCAGGAATAGGACGTGAACAATCCTCATTATCAATATACTAATGAAAAAAGAATTTCGAGACTGGAATATTAATGAAAAGACCTGTACCTTTACTTCAAAAAGTCTTAAAAATGTGAAAAGGAGATTATGCATGACACAGGTGGATAGTTTCATTAAGAGGCCAAGTCTACACTAGAAAAGCATAGCTCAGGACAAACTGGTGTTTAGTTTAATCACAGTTTTCTGAAATGAAAAAGATGCTTGAAGAAGTCTTAAGTGCAGTTTTCTGAAACAGAACTGAATGGTTTGTCCTGGACTACATTACAGTTAAACTGTTTCAGAGAATCAATACTGGACCCACAGCCTACACCCATTACTAGCAACAGATATGATTTCTAGGATAGGCCAGATAACAGAGGAGATATGATGGAACAACACACACTTCAGTGCTCGGACCCAAGTTGAATACTATCTTAAATCTAGCTACAAATGTATACTTTCTGACTACACTAATACCCAGAAGTAGACTACATATAACTCTATACAAAATCTAAGTTTGTTTTTAAAAACTTTATTAATAATAATAATAATTAGTTATCACTACAGCATTTTCACCCATAAGTTTCATTGTAAGATAATTTTGATCTTAGGTTTACTTGAGAATTTCACTGACAAGGAAAGGAAACTATACCTGTAGTAAGATATAGACAGGGAGTAAGATGTAGAAACAAACTATACCTGTAGTAATATATAGGCAGGGAGTAAGAGGGTACTTGGGACACTCAGTCAAAGACTGTTCCATGTCCCTAGAGATATTGCGAAAACAAGAATAGGGGACCCAAGATACTAGTGCCACAGCCATAAAATAGTTTTATTACCATCTAAGAAGCAGAGAACCATTAAAGTATTTATAATTTGAATACTGAAGTCAAATAAATTTGGACAAATATTAGACAAGTTATAGAAAAGAAAATTCTCAATTTCATAAGTACTGTAGTCTCATTCAATAGTCTTCATTCTAAACCACGGAAGATTAGCAATAGCAACAAACAATGAGCTCCAACATTAAACAGGAAGGCATAGGCTTAACATTACAAATCTGGAAGTACAGAATTTTTGCAAAACTAGTGCACTTCCCATGTCAATGTCATTCTGTTTTGGAACATCATTACTGAGCTACAAAAAAAAAAATCCACCTCAGTTATGGAAATAATGTTTTTTTTAAATTGATCCTTCTAGATCACCCACAGTTTAGCTGGATATAACACACTCCAAAGTCCACTCCCAATTTGACAAAGTCAGCCAACATGAGTCATGACACAAGCAATATCCACAGAGAGAGAAAGGCTATGATCTGGAAATGAAAGTGAATACATTTACTGAAGCTTGGGGAGTATTACCTACAAGAGACTTTTTTTAAAAATTGAATGTATGCTTTTTTTTTTTTTAAACCCTCCTTTATGACACTAAAATAGGACAGTGTTAGGGGGTTGGGGTTTTTTTTGTTTTTTGTTTTTAAACCCAACCTTTTACACCTTAGAAATAAAACCAATGCCAACTCTGATCTTGTTGAAAGACCAAAAGCATGTCTCAGAAGATGTATATTATTAACTATCACACCTAAACTGAAGGGGCAGGGATACTAAATTTTCTCCAAAATATAGTCACTGACCTTAAAGAGGTGTTACTTTTAACCAGTACAACAACAACAACAACAAAACCTTTGTGATCTCTGTTGCTCAGCTTTCAATCCTATGATGCTATTATTTCACTAAGGAGAATTTCAAAAGGGAACAGGAGATAAGGCTACCACATTTGGGTCAACTCCTACAAGCAGGCAGCTGGGTCAGAGAACTTCTGAGCAGCTGCTTAACTAGGCATTGCAACCACACATGCCCTGGGAGGAATATCTGGAAGGAGCCCCTGAAGTCAGCGTATATTCTTACATTACATAAAGTTGTTGTGTGTTTGTTTTGCTGGTGCTGTCTTCCATGACACTTGTGGTTGAGGCTTAGAAGATAGTGCCTCAACGTGAAATAGGAAAAGACTGGGGAACCTGGAAAGTGGATGCCAAAAATCACTTTGTCCTGAATAGTTATTCATTGCCTGAATGAAACTAGAAGAAAGGGATCAACCCAGCATCCACACTGGGGAGCTAAACCACAGAAGTTCATAAATCTAAACCTGCCATAAAACTAGGACAGAGAAGAAAATCTATAGAATACATTATTTGTATTGTTTCTTAAATGATGGGAACAAACAAAGCAGGTATATTGGAAGGCGGTCTCCTCTTACTTGCCAGAATAGACCAAAAAATTTATTTCTTAGCAAAAACACACACACAATGCAAGAGACTCAGACTTCAATTTACTTCAACATATATTATGTTAACAGTCAGAATCTAAGCAAGCCATTTTACCAGTCATTGTCTATAAAGATGTAATTTCATTATGTAAATATTTCAAGCATAAACACATTTAAGGACATTTCAGTAGAAAGTGGAAGTACAGCAGAAATAATCAAGATGCCGCACCTCCAAGTCATTGGTTCAAATCTGATTCAGAATGGTAGGGTCAGAAAGTAGTTACTATCTAATAACATTGGTAGAGAAAACAAAGACAAAATCCACCACTATTGGCACCTTTGTGGGCAGTCTCAGATGCTAAAAGATTGAATATGCATGTAGGCTGAACTAACCTTTCACTCTAGAGTTGGCTGTTCCACGTGTGAGTTGAGTAACACTGAGGGAGAAGAAGAAAAGAAGCTTTCACTGCCAATGGTTGCACTTTGAGTACTATCAATACAGTACCTTTTAAAAATAATGTAAAGATGGTGACTTGATACAGTGAAACCACAAATGATAACTTTCCAATACAGATTTGGATTCTAGAAGCAGGTCAGGAAGCAAGACACAAAGAATACTTCTCCATAAGTTAGCAGTTGCCCTGTACAACACTGAGGTCTTTATTAAAAAGATTCCTTATTTCTCAATTTTTCAAAGACTTTAATGAGGTTTCTTCTCAGTTTTTTACTGTAATATGCAAATTACAAAACACTTAAATGTCCAGACAAAAATATCACTTATTCATCAGAAGAGATAAGAGGTGAATGAACAAGTCTTTCTAGTGATGAGGTGGGTGAGGTAATATCTTTTATTGAACCAACTTTGTCTCTCTTATACCCTGGAATCTAGACAACTACAACAACACTGCATTCAAGTCTTTATAGTAACCTTAAATATGTCAGTTTCTTACTAGAACAAAATTCAACTGAATTATGATAGTAGGCTCCAGGGCTAATAAGCTTTTAGCTCAGATAACTATTTGGTCATGTGGAATTTTAAGGATCCATTTCACATGTTTCTCTTCTCCCTAGTATTCAGTTAAGTCAAAAAACCTTTGGTGGAAAGAACTCCATTTGCCATCCTTATTTCTTAGTGACTCAACACCATAGTTACACATTCTGATGCACATGCTTTTAGACATGCTGTTCCTGGTGGGGAAATTGTCACAAGTGGTAACCATCAGAAAAGGACAGTTCAGGAATTCTTCATTAAAAGACCTATAGTAACCTACGTAGTCAGTAAGATTATAAAACATCATCTAGTGAATGATTAAAATGTTAAACCTTTAAATATAGAGTCATAGCTCTATTTTTTGCCCAGTGCATTTATTATTTGCAAAGGCAAAGAAAAAATTGCAAACGATACATTAGATCTGCTTTAAATTATCAGAAATATGCTTCTGATTTAGCACCAACACTTACTTTCTCTGAATCTAACATACAAAATTCTCATCTAGAAAAATATTTTAAAATATTCAGCCATTAAAGAATGTTATGTGTTGTTCACTGTGAGATGGAAACTATTCTATTTCAAAATGGCTTATTAGTTTATAATATTAAGCCTTTTGAGATATGCCTTTTTCAATGGAAAGAGCATTTAAGGGAATTTAATGCTTGCAGATTAACAACAGTAGAACCTTAAATCCCTTGTCAACCTAAAGACCAATTACAAATCAGGCAACGTTAGTGGAAGCTTCCCACCAGTAACCCGTAACCTTGTTGTACAAATACCTAAAGGCAGAAAATGTCACGTCCGTTCAATCCTTGTTGACTTGTACCTACAATTTGACTAAGGTGTGTTCTGGACCATTAAAATAGCTTCTTTTATTCAATACTAAATTAGGCAATTATTTTTTAGTATCAATTATATTTCATTATTCTCTTTAAAAAAATCACTCAACTGTTGTCTGTAGCCATATTCTGTTGTATATAAATGATACATGGGTCTAGTGTCATTATGCATGTTTCAAGATCAAATTTGCTGATTTAATGGTTAAAGAGTTTTAAACGATACATAAATCCAAGAGTCTTTTCATTTCAAGCCTTGTTTTCCCGGGGATTCCTAATTCTGCTGTAAAAATTCCTTTGCGTAAAACATCTAAGCCCAGAAGTATTCTCTCCCCCCGCCCAAAGTTTTTAAGGAAAGGGTATTGAAACATCATGAAGCAATTGTACATGTGTGGTTTATTGGCACAATGTGCATTTTACATTCCTATTCAATTAGGAAATAAATCAAACGTAGCATGCATATATTATAAACCAGTGGTTCTCAACCAAGGGTGCGCGTATCCCTGGGGGTACACAGAGGTCTTCCAGGGGGTACATCAATTTATCTAGATATTGGCATAGTTTTATAACAGCCTACATAAAAAGCACTAGCGAAATCAGTACAAACTAAAATGTCATACAATGTCTTGTTTATACTGCTCTGTATACTATACACTGAAATGTAAGTACAATATTTATATTCAAATTGATTTTGTAATTATATGGTAAAAATGAGAGAGTAAGCAATTTTCAGTAGTAGTGTGCTGTGACACTTGTATTTTTATGTCTGATTTTGTAAGCAAGTAGATTTTAAGTGGGGTGAAACTTGGGGGTACACAAGAGAAATCAGACTCCTGAAAGGGGTACAGTAGTCTGGAAAGGTTGAGAGCCATTGTTATAAACTATGTATTTAAAAATCCTTATGGGTAATATTTTTGCAGAGTCTAATAAAATTAAAGACAGGCATTTAGATTATAAGATCTTTGGGATAGGTACAATCATTTTCTATGGCCTCAATCCTGTAAAAAATTATACAAGCGCTCAATTTTACATACTGAGTAGTCCCATTCAAGTCAGTGGGTCTACTCCCAGTGCATAAAATAAGCATATGCTTAAGTCTGTACAGGATCAGGGCCTATGTATGTACAGTACCTAGCAGGCTGAAGCCAATAGGGGCTACTGAAATATAAATAATAGTGAACAAAAATCATGAGAACTCCAGACTCTGAAATCTGGATCCAGACCCTCTCCACTGGGTAAATAATTCAGTAAAATCAGTTTCATAATGACAAAAGCAAGGGAATTTGAAGACTAAGGCTAAAGTTATCTTCAACTTACCCCTCTGTATAAGGCTTCAAAATCCATCTCTAAATAATAGGTGATCCTAAATTCCTTACATAACATTTCTAGCTGTTAAGTAGAAAAGCACTTTTTTTGCTTTAAAATTCTCTCTTTTAATGTGGTCCAGGTTGTCAGCAAAGTGCTCAACACATGATAAATGAAAATATCAGTTTTGAAAGTTGTCCAGTGCCCTATTTTGTTCCAAATTTTGGTTTTCTACTTAACTTGAAAATTCACAAGTAAATCTACTTGCTATTCTGTTCGCATGGCTATTTTATGACTTGCACTTTCAGCTAAAATGCAAGACATTTTTTTTCCCTGTTTTTGTTTTGCTAATGAGAATTTAAGGAATATGATCCAAATTGTTTAATGAGCGTGATTTTCAGCATAATGTGTCTTACTTAGCATTTGTTTAGACATGATTGGCTACTTCAGGCTTTCAACTTTGTCCCTGTTTGATAGACTTTTTTCCTCCAGGGGCATAAAGTTGCTTTGACACTACATATTTTTTCTTAAGGGTGGGGGTGGGGGTGGGGGAGGGAGCATTACACTTCCTGTCAGTGCTGGAACAATACCAGACAAAGATGTCCCAATAAAAGTCCTAAAATAATATAATATTCCAGAAAGGAGAACAAGGGGTCTGATATTTATGAGATGTGTTGATACTCTCCTAACATACAGTGCTTTAAAAGTTTAGAACCAATTCCTACCTTTGTTTCAAAGGTTGGGTGGGGGAGAGAGATAAAGTAACACAATGTCTTTATGGCTTAAGAAAACTGACCAGTCTATTAGCAAAAATAAATAAATAAATAAGCAAGTAAGCCAAAAAACATTAGTTACAATACCAGAAGGCATTTGAAAACACATTTTGAATAAAAATACAGTAAGTACACTTATACTGTAGCCTACATAGGTAATGGATCAATCTTGCACACAGTGACCCAAGCTTAAACTGAAAGATATAATTCTGTACCTATGGTAGTTCAATACATATCCTTAATAAAAGCAGCCTGGCTTTAAAAAAAACACAACTTTTTTTTTTTTTTTAAACCTCAATATACAGAGAGTTCCTAAACAATTAATCATAATGAACTACTGCCCTGCAAAATCTATTTTAAACAAACTCAAGGTTACAGGTAATGGTCTCAAGACATTATTATGCAATCTCTCAGGGAGGACAGGTTTTATATTACACATAGTGCTCTCTTTCATATGAAAAATCTTGGTACTATGAAATTATCAAAAAGCTAAGATATGCAACAATTGGTAAGCTATACTCCTTTCTTTGACTGGAGCGTTTTGTTTCTTAGCAATATTGTCTACCATGCCACCTACTAGCAAATCTAGAAAAACATGGGTAGCAGAACACTTTATCACAGGGTGCTGCTCTGAAAACTAGCCACTTTAGGGAAATCATCTATCTGGAGGGTGGGGGAGAAGCTCCATAGGCGCTTCCCAATTCCATACTGTGAAAAAGCTTCACTACCATGGACTCTTGTAACAGTATTCCAGTGCCACCCAGAGATATGAAAGCCACGTGCTAACTGAAGCATGGGAAAACAATTAGCTCTATATTCCTCCCACCCACCTACCATTCAAAAGAGTGACTGAAATATTACACAGGGACACTGTCAACTTGTTTTGTGTCTTTTTTTAAATTACTAATTTAAAATTCTAGTTTCTGATACAGCATCTTTTAGGTCAGTAGTTTTCAAACTTTTGTACTGGTGACCCCTTTCACATAGCAAGCCTCTGAGTGCGACCCCCCTAATAAATTAAAAATACTTTTTTATATATTTAACACCATTATAAATGCTGGAGGCAGAGCGGGGTTGGGGTGAAGCTCGTGACCCCCCATGTAATAACCTCGCGACCCCCGGAGGGGTCCCGACTCTCAGTTTGAGAACCCCTATTTTAGATGGTTTGTCCGCAGTAGGCATTCTTTATTGCTTATAAAAAATTCTTAAGTGATTTTTCTATTCCTTGTCTATTTTCAGAAGGGTCTTTCAGCAAAGGAGTAGTTGGCTGTACACAAAAAACAGTGAAACTGACTAAGCATAAAGTAAAACTGGAAAGATTTCCTTCCTTCTGTTTTAAAAACTTTAGGTGTTACTTGTAACTACAGTAGTTACATAATTTTCAGCAGAACTGTGTTTTTTAAGTTGATATGTCCCTTAAGAAAAGTCATTCTGGCATACAAAATAGTTTTAAGTTACATCTACAATCACAGAGAACAGTGGTTCTCAACCCTTTCACAACAGAGCACCAACTGACTTTATAGACACTTCAGTACCTTATTTATAGAAGGTGCTTCTTTTTCTGTGCATTTTATTATCCTTCTGGGTACATGTAACCAGGGTCAAAATCACCGCGAAAACAACTAAATACAAAAATCAAACTAAAACATATAGGTATTTTATTAGTTGCCACATAATAAGACAATTACCCAATAGAAATGAAATAACTTCTCTGTTCATTTTTAAAGCTATCAGTTGCCTCAAATAATAAGCCATTTTAAAATGGAAAAGAAAAAACTGAATACAGATGTACAGTAAATTTAACTGCTATTCTAACATTCAAAATATATTTCTGTATACAGACACTCCTCTTTCTCCTCCCACTGGTAATTTTCTCTATGCACTAGAAAACTCGCCTCATCTTCATGAAAACCAATGCAGACATCAGCCTTGCCTGGGAGGTTCTTCAAGAATCATTATGCCCCTCACCAATATGGATGGCAAAATAGCTACAAAAATACGGTTTTTTAAAAAAAGGAATTAAAAATTGTAAATAATCAGCCTTGTTCTTTCCCTCCTACATTAAGGAAAGGGGTGTTGATTCTTTAAGTTATTGCCATATACATTTGGTTAGTCGGTGGATGGGACTATGTTGCTTTTAGCTTCACAGGGTGGGGACTCACTAAAGCTGACATTGTCTGAATGCCACAAAACAGATTCCTCTCACATCCCCGGTCTACTTTCAACCCTTTTCTTTTCAACCAAATGAATCGCATTCCTATTTTTACATTAAAGCTCTTATTTTGCACCTCAAGCTCAGACAAACCGCTGACAGGATTCAAATGGAGAGGGGCGAGAGAAAGAGACAAACCACAACACCTTTAAACACACACACACCCATCAGACCCTCTCTTTCCAAAGCTTGAGCTGAACTGATTTTTAAGGGGGAAGAGAACTGGAGCCATGAAGAGTGTAACAGACGAGGGGCGTGATGCGCTGCTGCTGCTAGGGCAATCCCAACCCTTCCTCTTCTACACTCTGCCTGGCGTGACCCTATGGAGCAGGGATGTGGTAAAAAAAGAGGACCCAGCTCCTCCTATTCCCATCCCCCCCAGCCCCAAAATATAGGGGAGAGCCCTCCTTCCTCCCCCCACCCAGCTTTATTACACACACTTCTAGGGCACCACAAGATCCGATCTATTATTGCCCCTCTCCCCAAATCACCGCCCCCAGCTGGGATGTTCATCCATTCCCCCCCCCCCCCAGGCTGGGGGCGCTCCCCAGACAGGACAATAGGGCGAGCCCCCAGCCTCTGCCCCATACACCGCGGCTGGGAGCCAGTCACCCCCGGGGAACCCGCTGCCCAGGCCGGGGGATACAGCCCGCGGCTACTGCCAGCAGAGCAGGACGGGGAGGGAGAGAGGAGGACCGGCTCTCGGCTCCCCTTCCCGGGCAGGCGCTGAGCACTCACCGCGGCGGCGGCTCCTCCTGCGGCTCGAGGTCGGCTCCCCCGGCTCCTCCTCTCGCCGCCCGGCTAATGGTGGCAGCGCGGCGCCGGCGGCTCCCCCAGGCGCTTCCCAGCCCCTTCGCTCAGCGCGGAGCCGCCCCCGCCTGGCAGCCCGAGCGCGTCCCTGGCCGGCGGCTGCGGCGCGTCTTCTCCCCACGCCCCAGTGCCTGACTCAGCCTCAGCCCCGCCGCGTCGGGCTCTCCCCGGCCGCTCACTTCCGGCGCGCAGGCCCCGCCGCTCCCTCCGCCGCAGCCCGCTGGCTCCCCCGCTCCATTCATCCAGCCCCGCGCCCGGCCTGCTGTGAGGGGAGAGGCGCCGCCTTCCCGTCAGCGGCGCCCGCTGCCGCCTCCTCACCGCTCCCGCCACGCGCCTACGCTGCCGCGCGCGGGGGCCCGGCCTTCTGGACCCCTGTGCCTGAGCCCACGGCTGAGCGTCCACATTACCGCCTAAACGGGCTTGCAGCTGCTGGCGCTGGGCCTCACAGCTGGGCTAACATGCCCACACTGCACAGGAGGGGGGACCCTCAGGCCATTGATTTGTCCCTGTGCCTTACTGGGAGATGTATTAAAATGGAGATGTACCATTTTATATACTGAAGCTTAGGCTATTGTATACTTGAGGGCAATAGAAATGTGCACTGGTGAAAAATACATGGTAGGCTAAGGGAAAGCGTGTATCTCTCAAATATCCCTTAAAATAAAGAATTGTTCCGTATTTTTCATGTGGTTTCCCCTTATTTCTATGCAACAAAGGTGGTCACCCTATTTCTGACTCAGCTCTGCCTTGAGCTGCACCCATGTTGCAAAATGACAGGGCGTGGACCTGAGTCACGGCAGCATTCAAGTTCTGATCCACCCTGCTCATCCAGTAGGGTTCTAGGACCTGGAGTCAGACTGGTTTATGTGTGGACGGAAGAGGAGCCTGTCCTCAAAACTGAGTTAGAGCCCAGGATTAGTGTTCAGTGTAGACATATCCAGCCTTCAGTGCTACCCATTGATTGTTGCACGTCCTGGGACTGAGTGGGGGCAGGAGGGAGATGCACTAGCCTTGGTTGAGGTGCCAGCTACCATACAGGGCCAGCGGGGCCTATGCACACCCAGCACTAGCTCCCTTTTCTCTAAAGCAAAAGGTTATATTTTCAAAATTGCCCAGGGATTTTCAATGACCTGCCTGAATCAACTCAAAAGGGACTGCACTTTCAGAAAGTGCTGAGCCTTTGAAAATCTAATCCCTCTCTGCAGTATCTCATATTGGACCCCCACTCCCCAAATCACTTGTCACTTATGAAATCTAGGCCAGAATCTTTACCGGTAAATTCCAATTACCTGAATGTTTAGAGGGATACTAATTATTCAAAGGTTTAGGGTTTCATAGGCACAAAATTCAATTTTAGTTTAATTTTGGATTCTAGAACTAAAAACTAACTTCAGCTCATCTGAAACTCACATAAGCAGAGTTTGGATAACCAGGGTTTTCCCAGTCTTCCATCTGAAAACTCCAAAGGCGTTTCACGGGAGCTTAAATGCAAGTCCCAATTTTGTTCCCTCTGGACCCAGTTCATCCTTGACCTATGTAGTCATTTATGTAAGAACATAGCCATAATGCGTCAGACCATGGTCCAGTTTGCCCAGTATCCTGTCTCCAACATTGCCCCTGAAGCTCTGGTGTAACAGATCAAGGCAATTATGGAGTGATCCACTCCATCTTCCATGCCCAGCTTCTGGTACTCAGAGGTTTAGGGTCACCCTGAGCATAAGGTTGCATCCTTGGCTCTCCTGGCTAATAGCCATTCATGAACCTATCCTCCATGAATGTATCCAGTTCTTATTTTAATCCAGTTATACTTTTGGCCATCACAACATTCCCTGGTAATGAGTTTCACATGTTAGTTGTGTGTTTTGTGAAAAAGTACTTCCTTTTGTTTTCATTAAATCTGCTGCCTATTAATTTCATTGGGTGACCCTGATTGTTGTAGTACGGGAAAGAGTAAATAACATTTCTCTATTCACTTTTCCCACACCATTCATGATTTTATCATATCCTTCCTTAGTTGCCGCTTTTGTAAGCTGAACAGCCCTAATCATTTTAGTATCTTCTCATAGGGAAGCCATTCCACACCCTCCTCTGTGTTGCTCTTCTCTGAACCTTTTCCAATTAATCTATATCCATTTTTAGATGGGATAACCAGAACTGGACTGATGGATTTCTATTGTAGTATGCTGATATTTTCTGTCTTATATTCTATCCCTTTCCTAATAGTTGCTAACATACTGTCAGCCTTTTTGACTGCTGCTGCACATTGAGCAGAAGTGTTCAGAGAATGATCCATGACGACTCCAATATCTGTTTCTTAGGTGGCAACAAGTAATTTAGAGTGATCATTGTATATGTATATTTAGGATTTTTTCCAGCGTGCACTATTTTGCACTTACCAACATTGAAGTTCGTCTTTCCATTTTGTTGCCCAATCACCCAGTTTTGTGAGATTCTTCTCTAACTCCTTGCAGTCTGCTTTAGACTTAACTGCTTTGGATTTGAATAATTCTGTATCACCAACATAAAGTCAGTTAAAATATTACCAATACAATTTTGCAGCATTTTGCACTGGTATAAGTACTATCCAAAGTACAGGGCAATAGTGAATCAGTGCCTACATGTTCCTCACTATAGCTTTCATGTAACATATAAAATTTCACCTTACATGAGCCCAGAATAACTTTAGCTATCACCTCCAAAAACAGTTATGAACTCTTCCAACATCTACATCACTCATCCTATACGTTTATTTAATAGAAGACGTACATATTAGTGAATTAAAAAGTCCAGAAAGATGTCTTCCAAGTCAGACTTACAGTTATTAGAATTACTAAAGTGACATTTTACAGACTTTTTGGTAAATATAAAGGTATAATTTATGTAAATTGCCTTAATTTGTGATTTATATATTTTAACAGTATTTTTGACAATTGTTTTGGTCTAGAAGTTGTCTTATTTACAAAAGTAATCTTAACTTTCATTTAATATTTCTCATAACATTTTTAAACAAAAAGTGTTAAATGTAAATATTCTTTTCCCTCTAAATATTTGTGCTAAAAATATATTTCAGCACAAAATATTATATACAGAGCTCTTAATGTAATTACAGTAGTTTGAGAAAAAAAATCTTAACCATTAAGTACACAATTTTCTATTGTGTCAGTCTCTAAGAGTTTGTGTCGACAACTGTGCGCTTTTCTCTGGCACCAGGTTCTTGGAAATCCTTAGAGGAGCTCCTCTCCTGTACCTCTTCTAAAGTATGCAGTAGGCAAATTCCTCTTTTACTGATCTTGGGAAGTCAATAGTAATAACAGTTCTTTCCTGCACAGCTTAAGTGTACCAGCATATAGCCAATCACCACCGTGACCACTCTATAAAGTTACACTTATATAGATACATATGAGACAATTCCAAACTGGTGCAATTTACACCAACTGAGGATCTGTCCCATATGTTGTACTACCCTCTGTTGGTCTTTAGATTGCAAACTCCCCAGGGCAGGGACTACACCTTTTTTTCTGTTTGGAAGGCATCTGGCATATATTGGGCACTACTAGAAATAATAAAATACAAGATGAAAACTCTGCTGCTATAAAACTTATTAAGTGGGCTTCTGGGGAAGATGCCTTCTTAGCAGAGCTCCAAAGCTCTAGTGGAGGAGAGACTGTGCTTATGGGAAGGCACTTTTTCCCTGTGCCAAAATAGTTCACAAAATAAAAATTTGAAATACAAGAGGTTGGACATGTGTAACATTTTACACATTGGGATTGGTCACTGAAAATTTGATCAGTCAACCTATACATGTTATTTTCTCCATTATCTTATTACAAGTAAATAAAAACAGTTTTGAGAAAGAATGGCTATTTTATTTTTTATAGAACATTAGCCTATGCACAAGATTTTGCCTAGGTCAAAAGCAACATCAAGCTGCACATCTTAAAATAAAGCCTGTATAAAAACAAAATTTTACATGTACCTACAATTAAGATCTTATAACCAAGGCTAGGTCCAACTCACTTCTATAACTTCATGCAGAAGATACAGAAAAACATCTTGAATATCCAAATAATCTTAACAGTTGTGTTTCCAAACTGCATGCAATCCTGTGAAATACTATGGATGAAAAATATCCTGCACAAGCTTGGAACAAAGTAATGGGTGCAGGAATATCATACTGATTGGACTACAGACCTTACTGCCATTTATAAAACATCAATCTTCAATAGATTCATAGAAATGTAGTATTTTGTCAACAAGAATGTGTATTATTCTTCTGTAATTGCAAACAACAATATGCCCAGAATTTTAATCTAACCATTCAAAATGTCACACACTTAATGCAACCTTGTTTTATAAACAGTGAGACAAACCCACAACATATGAATGTCTGGGTTCAAAATTATTTTATAGACGTGATAGGTATGTTAATTTTCACTCCAGCTCTGTGATTGTTGGTTGTCAACAATGACAATGCTATCGGTGGGCGTGAAACTGATCTTATCAACAGGTTATATTGTGTCTCCAGATTCCATTAAGCCAGTCATGCTTTTTAAATGACTTACAATGACACTGAATGGATCAGAGCAACAATGAAAAAATGGTAATAAAAATTAATCAAGTTAGCACAATGAGTGGGTTGCTCTGAGATGCAACCAGTCCATTCATTCCTAACTTCATACTCCAGCTTGTACCGGCTTTCAAACTGACATTAGAACAATGCCACCCAAATTTCCAAACCATAAAGGTTCAGAGCCACACACAGTCATAACAGTTCTTCAAACTTTACACCCCATAGCTTGCATCCATAGTGGGGGGGGGGGGAGTTTGTGGCTAACTAACACAAAGCCTATTTTTGGCACATGGAAACTTTAATCCATTATCTCAAAGCTGTTAAGCTGACCTACTGTCTAAGCAGACAATACAACAAATTTCATGCAACATGGATCAATTATCTAGACTATCTCAACACTGAGGATAGAATTGATCTGCAACTCCTCTACAGGATGCTGGATAGTCCTAGTTCATGTACTTAGATGAGTTACAAATATAGATATCCCCAAGATCAAACAAGTACT